TTGGGAGTTAATTAGCACATTTAGCAAGGATGTTGGATATATTATAAAGAAATTAGGATACAATAAAAATTTTAAATACCATTTATAATAGCACCCACACCATCATATATATATAGGAATAATTCTCACAGAAGATGTGTAAGACTTCTACACTATTGGCTAAAGGAAATTAAAAAGACCTAAATAAATGGAAAGATATACTACGTTCCTAGATTGAAATTGATCTTAAATTTAATGTCATTCAAAATCCTAACAGTTCATTTTCATGTTCATTGACAAGCAGATTATAAAATTTATATGGAAATGCAAAACTATGTAATGGCAAGATTATCTCAAAGAATGAAAAACTGGAGTATCTGTAGGACCAGATATGAGTTGGAATGGATTTGACAGCACTTAATAACAAGGAGCTCTGGTAGCGTAGTGGTTAGGAATCGGGCTGCGAACCATCAGTGGTTCGAAACTACCAGCCGCTCCGCGGGAGAAAGATGAGGCGTTCTACTCCCGGAAAGATTTACACCCTCGGAAACCCTGTACAGGGTCGCTATGGGTCGGACCCGACTCGATGGCACTTAACAATAACAACAACACATATTACTAGCTGATTTATGGTAGTGTTACCACTACCGTTCAGTGGGGAAATGATGGTCTTTCCAATAAATGGTGTCAGTCCATTACATATGTTATTGTTGTTAGGTGTCGTCGAGTAGGTTCTGACTCATAGCAACCCTATATAGGGTTTCCAAGGAGCAGCTGGTGGGTTTGAACTGCCAGCCATGTAGTTTGCAGTCCAGTGTTTATCTTACAGCGCCATACCAAGATTCAGTCAGCTGTATACACAGAAGTAAAAATTGATTCTTCATCCACACTTAAGATTTAATTCTAGATGAATCATAGATTTAAATGTTAAAGGAAAAGCAATAAAATTTCTTGAAGAAATCATAGGATAGTATTCTCATAACCTTGAGATGGACAATGAGTTCTTAAGCAGATACATATAATATTAATCATAAACAAAATAAATGATAAATTGGACTCTGCTTAAATAAGACTAGAATAAATATTTTCATATATTAAGAGGTAATATTAAAAGAGTGACTTGACTATAAAGGAACTAACTGGGAAAAGATATGTATGATGGAGATAAGGCAGTCCCTGGTTTATGAATGAGATCCATTCCTAACTGTGTCTTTAAGTGAAATTCGTATGTGAGTAGGAATAGGTGCATACTCTTATTTAGCCTTACTTTAGTGCAAGAAAGGATCCCTGGTAGCGCTGTAGAATAAGTAATGGACTGCTAACCACAAGGTCAGCAGTTCACACCCACCAGCTGCTCTGCAGAAGAAAGATGTGCTTTCTGCTCTCATAAAGATTTGCAGCCTTGGAAATCCTCTACAGGGTTGCTTTGTATCAGAATTGACTAGATGGCAGGGGGTATGTGAGTTAATGTGAAAAGGAAGCCCTACTGTCACGGTGGGCTAAGTACTGGACTATTAACAATAAGGTCAGTGGCTCAAACCTACCAGTTACTCTGCAGAAGAAAGACATGGGTTGTCCACTCCATAAAGTTTTAAAGTGTTGGAAACACTAAGGAATAATTCTAATCTATTTTATAGCGTTGCTATAAGTCAGAATTGAAAAGATGGCAATGAGGTTTTGGTTTTGGTTTTAAATGCAAGAAAAGGTCTTTTCAATGATTTACAACCTCATGTACCTAGTGAAGGTGATTGTGATGAAGAATTTGTTGTCAGTGGAGTTTGGTTCAATCTTTCGAAGTAAGAGGACACTTACATAACCTTCAAGGGCAAGTAGGAGCTGTTGTATCCATCTTTATAACCCAAGTCAAATCAAACCCAAACTACTATCATTGGTTTTGACTTATGTTGTTGTTAAGTGCCATCGAGTCGGTTCTGACCCATAGTGACCCTATATAGGGTTTCCGAGGAGCAACTGGTGAACTTGAACAGCCTATATATGATTTCCAAGGCTGTAAATCTTTATGGGAGCATATAGCTTCACCTTTCTTTGGCAGAGCAACCGGTGGCTTTGAACCATTAACATTGTAGTTAGCAGCCCAACCTGTAACCCACAGGGCCACCAGGGCTCCTTTACCAACCCCCTCTACCCTGCTTCCAGGATGCCTGTATCTTATAAGGAATGAGTTCAGACTATCTAACGTACTACAAATTAAGTTTTTTAAGATTTACAATCCAATAGGAAAAAGATGGACAAAAAACTTGAACACACACTTGACAAATTGGACAATGACCCTGTGAAAAAAAGAAAGGTATTTGACAACATTTGTTACTAGAGAAATCAATTTTAAATATAGTGAGAGTTTCCTATTCTTCCTGCTGTTGTTGTTGTTGTTGTTAGGTGCCATCGAGTTGGTACTGACTCATAGAGACCCTATGCACAGCAGAACAAAACATTGCCCGATCCTGGGTGTGTAGAACTAAAAGCCATGGACATTATATATAAAAGAAACATTAGAAAACTGTGAAAGTTGGTGATAAAATGAGAGCTGGGCAAGGAACTTCACTATCCCAGTATTGTCACAAGGGTGAGTTCCCTGGGTTTTCTTTTTGCCTCAATTTTCCAGACTGAGAATTGAGGAAGCAAGCAATCTGGAAATTACAGTTGTTGTTGTTGTTGTTAAGTGCCATCGAGTCGGTTCCGACCCATAGCGACCCTGTACAGGGTTTCCGAGGGTGTAAATCTTTACGGGAGTAGAAAGCCTCATCTTTCTCCCGCGGAGCGGCTGGTAGTTTCGAACCACTGACCTTAAGGTTCGCAGCCCGATTCGTAACCACTACGCTACAGTAGGTGTTGACAAAGAAAGCCTCTCAGTGGTTACTGTCTCTAGCCAAAGGGTAAGGAATTTGGAAGCCTAGTAAGACAGAAAATATTTACACAACAGCTGCTCTATTTCGGCTAATATCACAGGAAATCTTGTGGCCTCATTCCTCATATCCATGGAGGAATGAGCAAGTAAGTGAGGAACATAGATTTCCATCATTGCTAGCCTATAAAAACATGCTTAGTTCCCTGCCAGGGTGGTATCAGAGAAGTCCATGTAGGATACATACTATATGATTCCATTTATATAGCATTCTTGAAATAACAAAATTATAGTAATACTGAAGAGGTGAATGGGTGCAAATGTTAAGGAAGAATTGAGTGTGGATGGAAGCAGTGTATCTCTAAAAGCTCAACATGAAAGATTCTCTGTAGTGATGGGAATATTTTGTATCTTGATTCTATTGACTATATCATTGTCAATACTCTAGTTGTGACATTGTATTTTAGTTGTGAAAGATATTGCTGTTTGGGTAACTGATTAAGAATTACAGCCTTGAGAACCCTAAACAGGGTCACTACGAGTCAGAACCGACTCAGTGGTACACAACCACCAACTAAAGGTGGACTGAAATCCTCCCCCCACCTCAAAATATATGCTGGAATCCTAGCCCCTAATCCTGTTTGAAAACATTGTGTTATTTGTCATGTTAATTTGATCAGAACCCAACAGGGTAACTTCTAAATCTAATTACTTCTGAGTTATGAAAACAGAACAGAATTAACAAAGACACACAGGGATGAGAGGAGGACAGACTAAGCAGACAGTTGCATCTGCAAGGATTGCTAGTATCTGCTAGAAGGTGAAATATCAAGGAAGCACTTCCTCTAGAGTCAGGGATTAAATGACCTTGCACTTCAAACTGACCTTGAGGTTGTGTGCTTATCCTATAGAGCCACACCAGGACTCAAGGTAGATGGTTCAAACCCACAGTTGCTCCTCGGAAACACTACACAGAGTCGCTACTAGTAGAAACCCACTACCGCTCTTGACAACAACAAAACATAGATCCTAGTGGGGAGAAAGGAAGCGTGGTGGCTCCATAGAATAAGCACTATACTGTGAACCACAAGGTTCATGGTTCAAGCCAGTCAGCCACTCAGTGGGAGAATGATGAAGCTTTCTACTCCCAAGGATGATTTAAAGCCTTGTAACTGACTCAACAGTACTGAACAACAACAACAACAACAACAACAACAACAAAGTGGGGGTAAAGGAAAGAACATGAAATAAAAGACAATAACTGGTGAAAACTAAAGGAGAAAGGAAGTAAATTACACATGTATACTAATCATGAGATAATACTGATTGAATCACAGGTGGTTATGTGCCATGGAGTCAGTTTTGACTCATAGTGACCCTGTACAGGGTTCCTGAGGCTATAAATCTTTACAGGAGCAGAAAGCCTCATCTTTCTTCTGCAGAACAGCTGGTAGTTTCGAACTGCTGACCTTGTGGTTCGCAGCCCAATTATTAACCAATTATCAGCAGAGCTCCTTAGTACAACTGAGAGGATGTGCTTCTTTGAGCAGCCCCGGATCTTGGCCAAATCTTTAGGATGGGGTGAGAGTTAACGATGGAGTGGAAAAACTTAGGATAGCAACGTACATTTCTGTTGATGCTGCTGTGCCATGGAGTTGGTTCCAACTCATAGTGACTCTGCATAAGGTTTCCAAGACTGTAAATCTTTACGGAAGCAGAAAGCCTCATCTTTCTCCCACAACAACTGGTAGTTTCAAACTGCTGACCTTGAGATTAGCAGCCTGACTCGTAACTACTATGCTACATTTCTGGCTACTCAAAAGAAGTTACTGGGGCAGAAATGGGCAATGTTGTCTGCTGACAAGAGTTCTCTAATTAAGAAGTACTTCCTAAACATTCAAAAAGGCTGAAATCTCTAGAGATCTATATAGAGGTCATGCTTTCATATTCTTTACACTTTTTGGTGAAGTTGTGAGATTCCCTTAAGCCAGCAGGCAAAAGATTTAGGGTGTTTAGGAAGGAAAGTAGACAACAACTCATAATAAGATCATAGTTGGGCAGGTGTTCCTGTCCCAGGTAGGTTAGTCCTAAAGCTATCTACATGGGAATCAATCACTGGTTCCACTAACCTGTTGTGGAAAATGCTGGTTCCACTGACCTGGTATGGAAAATGCTACTTCCTTCTTCTGATCCAGACGTAGGTTCTGGATGCAGCAGAACACACTGTCCTGATAGTTTTTTCTGAGAGTTAGTGAAGCTGCCACAGTGAACAGGCCTTCTTCATCAGTCCTGCTGAACTCTGATGTGGATAGAAGTTTCTCTCCCTGGGAAGTTCTCCACTGCACCTGGGGCTCTGGATACCATCCTTCTGAGGAGCACTCCAGCTGGATTTCCCCACTCTCTTTAGTTTCCATATCGATGTGAGGCTCAGACCCTAGAGCTATGGAGAGAGAAGCTGACCTTAACAGACAATTTTCTACGACCCTTATAGTTACCAGTAAAACCAACTCTAATTCATAGCAACTGATGTGTGTCAGAGCAGAGCTGTTCCTAGTGTTTTAATTGACTGATTTTTGAGAAGTAGATCACAAATCTATTCTTCCAAGGCACCTCTGGGTTGGACTTGAACCTCCAACCCATACTTTAATCATTTGTACCATCCTGGTACTCCCTTATAACTATGTTATTGTTGTTAAGTGCTGTCAAGTCAGTTCTGACTCATATATAGGGTTTCTGAGGAGTGGTGGGTGGATTCAAACTGCAGACAGACCTTGCAGTTCCAACAGATCTTTTGGTCCAGTGCTTATCCTACAGTGCCGTACTATAGCTATGAGTCCTGGTGTGCTGCTATAGTTTTGTTGTTGAACAAAAAGGTCTGTTCAAACTACAAGGTTGGCAGTTCAAATTCACCAGACACTCCTTGGAAACCCTATACAGGGTTGCTATGAGTCAGAACTGACTTGATGGCATACAACAACAAGGAAGAAACAAGCACTGAAGGAGAACCAGGAGCAGGGACAGATCTGCATCCCTGGGTGGTGAAGGTAATATCCTTGGCAACTGAATGGTTGGGGTTTCAAGTTTATCCAGTAGCTCCCTGGAAGAATAGTCTGGTGATCTACTTCCAAAAAATCAGCCACTGAAAATTATGTGGAGCATTGTATTACTCTGATGCACATGGGTCACCACAAATCTGATGCATGAGCAAGTGGTTTTTGTTCTGAACTATACATAGCAGTTTGATGGGATGTTCTTCAAGTCAGAGGGAACACAGTAAGAACACTGTCTTAGAGGTGGGTAAGCTTCAACAATCAAGAGGGAGCTGAGTTGTTTAAAGTATGAGGAGAAGGCTTTAGCAAACATGCAGAATTTGCATTGGGTCATGAGTGATGAACAGGAATTGGAAAAAGAAAAATGGTTTCTTTCTGTTTTCTTTGGATGGCCTTGGGAGACTAATTAAGAGTCATTGTGGAATTCAGAGTTCATTTACTGGGATTCACTTAAATTACTTCTATACCTTCTCTCACATTTATATACTGCCTTGAAGACTTCTCACTTTCCTTTTCTGCCAGGTTATTTTAAATTACTCCACACTACAGAAAAACACTCCACAGAATAAAACCATCAAATAACTTGTCCACATTTATATATGTATCTATGGGAGAATAGGACCTCTGGTAGCGTAGTGGTTCCACATTTATATATGTATCTATGGGAGAATAGGAGCTCTGGTAGCGTAGTGGTTACGAATTGGGCTGCGAGCCGCAAGGTCAGCAGTTCGAAACTACCAGCGGTTCCGTGGGAGAAAGATGAGTGTGTCTGCTCCCGTTAAGATTTACAGCCTCGGAAACCTTGTGTAGGGTCGCTATGAGTCGGAACCGACTCCACGGCACACAACAACATATGGGAGAATGCGTATTTCTTGGTCCAGAGGGTTAATGCATTTGATAAAGAACCATAGTTGTAGTCTATCATTTCTCTAGGTTATTTAAAGCAATCTTCAAGATACTTCTTCTCTAAAAATAAAAGCATGTGAACTGCAAAGTTGCTGTCACAGGAAGCACTCAATCATGGGTTAGAGAACCAGATGTTTAAATGCAATATTTATTTGAATTCTTAAATATAAATAATACTTAAAAGCTAAATTGTATTTACAGATTATATATATATATATATATATATTTTTTTTTTTAGCACAGGCTGAGGAACTATAGAGTACCTATGTGTCCCATGGGATGCAGAAGCAGGTTAGTATGTTTGTTTGTTTGTTTTGGTTTTGATGAACAGTGATAATACCTTACAACTCAATTATACTTTTAACGTTTTACAAAGTCACACACTCAGCGTCACTGAAGAAAGTAAAAATTCATCTACTCACCAGCCACTTTCAGATGAATAAAGGCTTCCTCATAGACTTGTTGAACTTTAAAAACGCATCCATACATGCCCTCATCAGATACCCTCACCGGGTGGAGCCTCACAGCCACGCGCCCCGAGGAAATACTGTCCTTGTCCATCGTGACTCTCCCTCGGTACTCAGGCATCTGCTGTCTGTCCTGCTCCACACCTTTTCGGTACAAGAGCACCACAGAAGACAAGGTATTGCGAAACCACCGCAGCTCCATGCGCTCAGCGCTCATTTGTGGGTAGAGGTGACAGGGTAGCTCAGCTCCTTCACCCACCAGAGCCAGGATGGGCCCCGGGGGTCCAATCACGTCAAAATCGGCTGTACAAAAATAATCATGGTCAGATCTGACACAGACTAGACTCTGTCAAAGCGTAGTCCAAGGTTCTACATTTCTAACCCCTCACCAGAACCTCAGGCCTCCCAATGGCCTCCTAGATGAGATTACTCCCATGAACACACACACACACAACAAATGCACTGCCATCGAGTCAATTCCAACTCATAACCGTCCTGGATAGGCTGTTGGAGGCTGTATAGCTTTATAGGAAAAAAAAAAAAAAAGAAGGTCTTATTTTTTTTCCCTCAGAGAGGCTTGTGGATTTGAGCTACCGACCTTGACCTTGCAGTAAGCAGTCCAGTCTAAGGAGAACCAAATGAGATTATTTCAATTTATTGAGATGTTTCAACCCAGTGAAAGGGAGGGTGTTTTGGGGAGGGAGATGGGAAGGACAAGCACACAAGCACCAGAAGGGACACCTACCAGAATTCAGTTTGGGAAGCTGGAGGAAAATGAGGGTGAGCAGGCATCTGTGAAGGCAGGAATTTTGGAGAAATGCTATCACCAATCTTTCTGGAGCAGCAAAATGCTGGAGTGAGTGCATCAGGACCTTCAACCTAGGAGATGAATGGAAAAATCCCCCACCAAGACAGAGATGTGTTTTGGACTTTGATTTATCTACTGCTCACCACCTCCCTCATTATCTATTTCCCACTTCAATCTGAAATGCTGTTCGGTTTGCACTGAAAATATATCCCCTCACTTCTTTTCTGTACTTTTCTCAGTGGCTAAACACACAAAACAACAAAATGCCTCCTAGTATGACAGCATAGAATTTATGGGAAAGATGAATAAATGCATATACTTGAAAATTTCTGCATGAAAAAGCCCGTTTTTTATTTTTAATGCAGCATTGTTTATTATTAGAGTGATTTTCAAGGTGAGTGAGAGTGTCACAGAGGATGACAAAGGACATGAACTAGAGGAAGAAAGATTGAAAGCTGGAAAATGATGGAAGAAGAGGCTTGAAGAATAGAGGGCCTAGAACCAGAGAGAAGAGTGGAGAGGTCCTGCTGATCACTCACCATAAGGGGTGGGATGGGTTTGGGAGTAAAAGGGGGAGGGGAGAGGCATTGCAGATACTGACCTTAGAAATCATGGAGGACAAGGAGCTGAGGAGCTGCTGCTACAGAAGGAGAGAAGTGATTGTGGTTTTCAAAATAGAAACTTTGAACTCAAAATGTAATTGCATTCTCATTACATACCTGAGTATGGTGACACACCAATAGCAGTTGATTTCTGCCCTATGTCGTGTGTTAGAATTTGACCCCTACATTGATAAAGGAAAGGCATTTTACAACCCGTGATCATTAACTTTAATCTTTAACTTTGAAAGGTTAACTTTCACAGGCTATAGAAGGCCTCCAACTTTTGCCTCCTTTCCACTCAGTCTCCTTCGCTCAGCTCTAGCCACCCAGCCCATCTCAGGTAAAAAATCTAATAGTCTCCTTAGTTCAGAGGACCCCAAACCAGAAATGCTTCCATGGAATTTTCTTCTTCAAATTGAGTTAATTCAAACCAAATTCAGGAAGGAAAGATGGAATCATAGAAATCAATGCTTGTGGCCTCCGACATTGAGGAAGCATACTGATTGTACTTCCAAGGTACAGTTTGCTCTTCTGGTAGTTCAAGGTACTTTCAATATTCTTTGCTAAAACCATAATTCAAATGCATCGATTCTTCT